CTGCTGCTCCTCCTCCGCGTCCTTCCTCTGCTTTTCCCTCCTCCCTTTTTTCTTCTTTCTCGTCCATGCTCCCTGCTTCCCGTACGCGCGGGGAACTTCCCGGCGAGCGGGTGCCTTGCGAACGGATGTTGCCGGCTTCGGGGAAAGGGAATGTATGGATTGTGATTGTGAGGTTCCCCCTTTCGATTTTGGTTCAAGCCTTCATTTCGAAGTGCCACTTACTCGGAAGGTTTTACCATGAGTGTGGTCGCCACCAGCCAGCAGTAATTATGCGGACTCGAGCCGATAAGACCTTGAGACGTTCGTCTTCTGTGACCGTTGAGGCACAGCCTGCGGAACCAGAGAAGAAGACTGCGAAGCGATCGAGCCCTGGAGAGAGTCTTAGCAGTCCTGGGAAATTGCTGCTGAATGCCGTCCTTGGGCTCTTCTTCGTAGCATGGTTGCAAGTGTTCGGCGTATTCATATCATTGCCATTGCTGTACGTCGCGGTCCTGCTGTACCCTTTCCATTACGGCAAGTATGATGTTTCATGCAGGATGGAGGTGCGGTCCGTCATTATCATTTATCGCAGACGCCTACGGCGAATTTCCGCCGCCCCCTGCCTTTGGGACACGCCTAAATGGCCAAATGTGTAGGCAAAGTTCGGCCACGCTGTTGGATCATGCATTCACCCAGCCGTTGCGGAAGCCCTTCGGGAAACGCGTGGGGGAGGAAGTGGAGGATGAGGCGAGGGAGGAAAAGAGTATGAGGAGAAGGACGAGGAGACCTCTTGGGAGCTTCTTGAGTCATTCTTGGGGCCTCCTGCGAGCTTCTGGGGGCGGCGTGGAGGCCTCTGGGGGCCCTCTGGGGGGCCTTTTTTTAGGCGCCTCTTGGGGGCCTCTTTGATTGTCTCACGGCGTTCCTCGCACGTCTGACGCCGTCGGAAGCTGTCTTGGGAGCCTCTTTGGGCCGTCCTGGGACTCCCTTGGGGCGCTTCCGGGTTGTCTTGGAGCCCATCTTGGGCGTCGGGGAGGCCTCTTTGGCCGTCTTGGGGCCCTTGGGGGGCCGTCTTGGGAGTCTTTTGGGCCATTCTGGAGCCATCTTGCAGGCCTATTGGGCGATTTTGGGGCAATCTTGGTGGCCTCGCCGTCTTGGGCCGTCGGACGCCCATTTTGAAGCAAATGCCCAAATCATTGAAACAGATCCTGGCGAAGGACCCAACCATATGCAGTTGAGGGTACCGCAATTGTGAATAGCTTCTTCGGTGAAGCTCCCTATGGGGCCACGAAGCGCTGCACTGGGGAACGGGGGACGCATGCGGGCAGTAGCACTGGAGCCGTCGGTGGAGCTTTCTATGAGGCCACGAAACGCTGTACTGGGTGCGGGGGACGCATGCAGGCGGTAGCACCGGGGCCTTCGGTGGAGCTCCCTACGGGGCCACGAAGCGCTGTACTGGGTGGAGGGGGCGCATGCGTGCGGTAGCACTGGGGCTGTCGGTGGAGCTCCCTATGGGGCCACGAAGCGCTGTACTGGGTGGGGGAGGACGCATGCGGGCGGCACTGGGACCTTCGGTGGAGCTCCCTATGGGGCCACGAAGCGCTGCACTGGGTGGGGGGACGCATACGGGCTGTAGCATTGGGGCATTCGGTGGAGCTCCCGATGGGGCCACGAAGCGCTGTACCAGGTGAGGGGGACGCATGCGGACCGTAGCACTGGGGCCGTCGGGGGAGCTCCCTATGGGGCCACGAAGCGCTGCACTGCATGGGGGGGGGCGCATGCGGGCGGTAGCGATGGGACCCTCGGTGGAACCCCACGAAACGCTGGGCGGGGGGGACGCATACGGGCGGTAGCACTGGGGCCGTCGGTGGAGCTCCCGATGGGGCCACGAAGCGCTGTACTGGGTGGGGGGGACGCATGCGGGCGGTTGACGTGGACCGGCACAGAAACGGAAAGAGCGCTTCAGAAACAGAAGCCGAAATTACTCACACCACCGCTCGTACTGGGAGCCTTGGCGTTGAGAGCTTGTTACGTGACCCCTCGCTCTTGGGAGCCTTGGTGCTCAGAGATTGTTGCGTTGCCGCCCGTTCCTGAGCCTTGGTTGGGCCTTGGTGTCAGGAACTTGTTACGTCACCGCACTCTGCTGGGAGCCTTGGTCTTATCAGCTTGTTTACGTCACCGTTCGCTCTTGGGAGCCTTGGTGTGAAGGAGCTTTTTGCGTTACCGATCGCTCTTTATTTAGCGTCTCTGGGCCTTTTGGGGAGTCCTCTTGGGGCCCTTTTGGAGCCCTTTTGGAGGCCTCTTGGGGGCCTCTTGAGGGCCTCTTGGGGCTTCTTGGGGGGTTCTTGGGGCCTCCTGGGAGCTTCTTGGGGCGAAAGGCTAGACTTTTCGGTTCGTGGTCCCCTCTTGGGGCCCTCTGGGGCCGTCTTGGGCGCCTCTTGGGCCGTCTTGGGGCCCTCTTGGGCCGTTTTGTGGGCCTCTTGGGAGCCTCTTGTGCCGTATTGGGGCTTTCTTGGGGGCCTTGGACCGTCTTCAACGCCGTGAAAGCGGAAAAGCCGTGTATGCTAAAAATGTATGTTCTCTTATCGGACATCAATGATTTGGGCCTCCTGGTGGCCTCTTGGGACGTCTCTTGGGGGCATTTTGGGGCTTCTTGGGGGGCTCTTGGGGCTTCCTGGGAGCGTCTTGGGGCGAAAGGCTACACTTTTCGGTTCGTGGTCCCCCTCTTGGGGCCGTCTTGGGGCTCTCTGGGGCCGTCTTGGGCGCCCCTTGGGCCGTCTTGGGGCCCTCTCGGGCGGTTTTGGGGGGCCTCTTGGGGGCCTCTTGGGCCGTCGTCAACGCCGCGAAAGCGGAAAAGCCGTGTATGCTAAAAGTGTATTCCAATGGGAAATCATTGATATTGGCCTCCTGGGGCCTTTTGTGGGGCCTTTTGGGCCGTCTGGGGGCCTTTTGAGGCTTCTTGGGGCGAATCGTGGTCCCCCTCTTGGGGCCGTCTTGGGCCGTCTTGGGCGCCTCTTGGGCCGTCTTGGGGCCCTCTTGGGCCGTTGTGGGGGCCTCTTGGGAACAAATTGTGCCTTCTTGGGGCGTTCTTGGGGCCCTTGGACCGTCTTCAACGCCGTGAAAACAGAAACGCCGTGTATGCTAAACATGTATGTTTTCCTATAGGACATCAATGATGTGGGCCTCCTGGTGGCCTCTTGGGACGTCTCTTGGGGGCCTCTTGGGGCGTCTTGGGGCGCTCTCGGGCCGTTTTGGTGGCCTCTTGGGAGCCTCTTGGGCCATCCTGGGACGGTTTGGGGGGCCTTTTGGGCCGTCGTCGACGCCGTGGAGGCCGAAAAGTCGCGCATGCTGCTCAAAATATACAAAATCTCGAGGGAAAACCCGAAAACGGCCATGAGACCGCATCCCTCCGGCCCTTCAACCTCCCTTGGACCCCTCCCTAGAGGGCTTCGCCCAAAACACAACGTCATCACTCGTACCTCGCACTTTCCCTTATCTGGAACCTTCGGTGGAGTTCCCTATGGGGCCACGGACGGCTGTACTGGTTGGGGGGGAACGCATGCGGGCGGTAGCACTGGGGTCTTCGGTGAAGTTCCTTCTGTGGCCACGACACGTGTGAGAGGTGTGCCGAAATCGGTGTGGGGGACGCCTGCGGGCGGTGGCGCTGGAACTTTCGGTGGAACTCCCTTTGGGGCCACGAAGCTTGTGAGGGGTGTGCCGAAATGGGTGTGGGGGGCGCTTACGGGCGGTGGCACTGGGGCCTTCGGTGGAGCTCCCTATGGGGCTACGAACGAAACGCGTGAGGGGTGTGCCAAATGAGGTTTCGGTGGAGCTCCTTGTGGGGCCACAAACTGATGTACTGGGTGGGTGAAAATACAAACATGTGTGTGTGTGTGTATGTGAGTGTGTGTGTGTGTGTGTGTGTGTGTGTGTGTGTGTGTGTGTGTGCGTGCGTGCGTGCGTGCGTGCGCGCGTGCGTGTGTGTGTGTGTGTGTGTGTGTGTGTGTGTGTGTTTGTGTGTGTGTGTGTGTGTGTGTGTGTGTTTGTGTGTGTGTTTGTGTGTGTGTGTGTATGTGTGTGTATGGGACGCATGCGGGCGGTCCCACGGGGGGCTTCGGTGGAGCTCCCGATGGGGCCACGAAGCGCTGTACTGGGTGGGTTAAAATGCCAAATTGAGTTTTCGGGACGCATGCGGGCGGTCCCACTGGGCCACGAAACGCCTGTACTGGGTGAGTGAAAATGCCAAATTGGATGTGTGGGACGCACGCGGGCGGTCCCACTGGGGGCTTCGGTGGAGTTCCCTATGGGGCCGCGAAAAGTTGGTACCGGGTGGGTGGGAATGCCAAATTGGGTTTCCGGGACGCATGCGGGCGGTCCCACTGGGGGCATTCGGTGGAGCTCCCGATGGGGCCACCAAGCGCTGTGTTGGGTTGGTGAAAATGGCAAATTGAGTGTCCGTCGTGGGGGCCTAGTGGGCCGTCTTGAGGCTATCTTGGACTGTCGTGGGGCAACCTGGGCCGTCCCAACGCTCTCCTGGACTGTCTTGGCCCTCTGTTTGGGGCCTCTGAGGTTGTCTTGGGGCTCTTTAGAGGCTCGTGAGGTCCGGGGGATGCGTTGACTAGTTCCAGGCATGCCCCTCCTCAAACGGGATCTGGGATCCCAGGAGAGGGGGAAATGGGGAAGGGAGCAGCCAAATGTCTCACAGTATTACACGCCTTTTCACCCCCACCAAGCGGGGGTCGGCAGACTTCACGGTGCTCAGCGTTCCTGTTCTGCTCTTTTGGGTCGTCCGTCGCGGAGGCGTCCAGGCCATCGTTCTTCTTTCAGCCTATGTGGCATGGTATACGTTTATGGATGATGCTCCTAAGCGGGGAGGACGGTTTCTCCGGACCCTGCGGCAGCGAGCGTTCTGGAAGCACTTCGCAGCCTACTTCCCTATGAAGCTGACCCGGGAAGAAGAACTCGATCCGGAGAAAAATTATGTTTTTGGCTATCACCCGCATGGTATCATCAGTTTGGGCGCCCTTTGCAACTTCGGAACAGAGGCGACTGGCTTTGCGCAGCTTTTCCCAGGTATCGATTTACGGTTGCTGACATTGACCATGAACTTTCGCATACCTTTCTTTCGAGAGTATTTGCTTGGAATGGGCATCAATGATGTCAGTCGAGAATCCTGTGAACGGAACCTTTCTCGTGGACCTGGATCGTCAATCATGATTGTAGTGGGCGGTGCGCGCGAATCCATAGAGACCGCACAGGGTGGTCGCGACAGCTTGATACTCTCGAACAGGAAGGGATTTGTGAAGCTTGCTTTGCGCAAGGGTGCGTCCTTGGTCCCTGTTTACTCCTTTGGGGAGAACGACGTGTTCGGTGTTTTCCGCAGCAGTTGGCTGACAGAGCTGCAGATCCGGATGCAGAAGAAGTTGGGCTTTGCAGTGCCTCTCTTCTTCGGTCGCGCGCTTACCGCTGGACTGCTGCATCGGCTGTTCGGGCTGAACGTGGGCGTTCTTCCTCTCCGGGTGCCCATTCACTCCGTTGTGGGAAAGCCGATCCATCTGAAGAAGACACCCAACCCCTCCCAGGAGGAAGTGGACGAGGCTCACGCTCGGTATATGGAAGAATTGAAGCGAATACACTCCGAATGGAAAGATAAGTTCGAGAAGGAGCGAGAAGACGTGTTGAAACAGTGCGATGCGGAGCGCGCCAAGATTTATCGCAGTGGTCGGTTCCGCTTGGATGACCACTGCGAGCTATCTTTTGTGGAGTGAGCCGCGTCGTGTGCACTCTCAGGTCCTCAGTGGATTCTTTGGTGCGCAATGTCCAAAAACCTTCTTGAGTCTCCAGGAGGGGCTCTCGTCGCTTCGCCCGGCCGACTTCCCGTTGGAGCTCTTGCGTGGAATTGTTCCCGGGAGAGCTCCAGGGGGGGGTCTACGACGATGGAGTGTGGAGAGCGGGAGCATGCCGAGGGACGAAGTTGTCCCGCTGTCGCACGAGCAATCTGACGGGCTCCCAATGCCATGGGGCAAGCACCGCCAATGGGGACTTTCGCATGCCACTCCTGGGACGTCGAATTCTGACTTTGCCCTGGTCCGAAGTCCGGCTTAATCCCGCTTAATCTGGATTAATCCCGCTTGATCCGAAGCCCACTTTGGCGTAACAGGCCCGCAATGGGGCTTAGTCCTCCTTACTTTTTCCGACGAAGACCTCCCAGCAGTTGCTTCATGAGGGACTGCTCGGTCGAAGCCTGCCATCGGGCACTGGCCACGGGAGGACCTTCAATGCGGGCCCCTTGCACCGCACCCTGCCACAATCGGCGCAAGGGAAAGCGCCCCCACCCCGACAAAGTGTATTACTAGCCGGCCGCTCTGCGGTTGATCGGGAGTTTCTGTATATAGAAGAAGGTTCGTGCGCTTGTTGGCGAGGGTGAGGATGAGGTTCCTCCTCCTCCTCCTCCTCCTCCTCCTCCATCCTTCTCTTGCCTCCGTCTGTCCTCCTCCACCCCACAGCTCCATCATCTTCTCCTCCTCCTCCTCCTCCTCCTCCTCCTCCTCCTCCTCCTCCTCTTCCTCCTCCTCCTCCTCCTCCTCATTCCTCCTCTGGGCACCTCCCCCGGGGCGCGGATCCACCGGATCTGTCCGGATCTGTCCGGAAACAATGCCGGAGGCCGCTCTGGGCTCCTCTGGGCACCTCCCCCGGGGCCTGTTTTGTGAGGATGTCTCAAGCGAGGGCGCCGGTTTGGGATTCGTCGGCGGATCTACCGGATCCAGTGGATCTGTCCGGAAACGGTGCCGGAGGCCGCTCTGGGCTCCATGCATGGGCACCTCCCCCGGGGCCGGTTTGGGATTCGTCGGCGGATCCACCAGATCCAGCGGATCTGTCCAGAAACGGTGCCGGAGGCCGCTCTGGGCTCCTCTGGGCACCTCCCCCGGGGCCGGTTTTGTGAGGATGTCTCAAGCGAGGGCGCCGGTTTGGGATTCGTCACCGGATCCAGCGGATCTGTCCGGAAACGGTGCCGGAGGCCGCTCTGGGCTCCTCTGGGCACCTCCCCCGGGGCCGGTTTTGTGAGGATGTCTCAAGCGAGGGCGCCGGTTTGGGATTCGTCGGATCCGGATCCACCGGATCTGTCCGGAAACGGTGCCGGAGGCCGCTCTGGGCTCCTCTGGGCACCTCCCCCGGGGCCGGTTTTGTGAGGATGTCTCAAGCGAGGGCGCCGGTTTGGGATTCGTCGGATCCACCGGATCCACCGGATCTGTCCGGAAACGGTGCCGGAGGCCGCTCTGGGCTCCTCTGGGCACCTCCCCCGGGGCCGGTTTTGCGAGGATGTCTCAAGCGAGGGCGCCGGTTTGGGATTCGTCGGATCCCGGATCCAGCGGATCCGTCCGGAAACGGTGCCGGAGGCCGCTCTGGGCTCCTCTGGGCACCTCCCCCGGGGCCGGTTTTGCGAGGATGTCTCAAGCGAGGGCGCCGGTTTGGGATTCGTCACCGGATCCAGCGGATCCGTCCGGAAACGGTGCCGGAGGCCGCTCTGGGCTCCTCTGGGCACCTCCCCCGGGGCCGGTTTTGCGAGGATGTCTCAAGCGAGGGCGCCGGTTTGGGATTCGTCACCGGATCCAGCGGATCCGTCCGGAAACGGTACCGGAGGCCGCTCTGGACTCGTGCTCTTCGCGCCGGGGGTGAGGATGACGTGAGTTCCACAGAAACTCCCTCAAACCACACAACTGCTTCCGACAAGGATCGGTTCGTGCCAAAATTGTGTCAGGACCTGGGGCCCACATGTCACGAGCTGACAACCAGCATCCATATCCATGCGGCCCCCAGATTTCTCGGGGCGGAATTCATTGGGGGGCCATGTGTGTGTGTGATGCCTGGTTTGAGCGGGAGCCCATGGGAGCTTCTTCAGGGGTCCGACAACCTGCGCTCGTATTTACAACGCGCTTTCAAATCAGGTGGCACGCGCGGATCAGCAACCCTTGTGGGTACGAGGGCATGTTGCCCGCTCATCAACCTGGAGGCCTCTCGGGGCCGCACTGGGCCCTTTCAAGGTCTTGTGAAGTACGGCGGCCTTGGCAGGAGGGTCGATCAGGAGGACGTCGCAGCGTCCTTCCCAGGGAACAAGACATGGCATTCATATAGATGTTCGGAGGTAGGTGCGCACAGATCTCTTGGATCCGCGCTTAGGCCTCCATCCCTGGCGCGCAGAGCGCGCAAGGGGCGGTGCCAGAGGCACCACCAGGGGGGGGCCCAGCGCCGATCAGCGAAATCCGCGCGGAGCTCTGGAATGAGATATTCATGCCGTTCATTGTTCCAGTAGATGCTATCGGGAAAAACGGTTCATCCTTCTTCATCTCCGTTTTCTAGGGGAACAAACAATGACACAAACGGACAACAACTCTTTGTGCGGGTGTTGCCAGAAGTGTCCTTGGCCCAAGGTGCTCCCAGGATTTCCAGGGAGGCCCCCACGGTCTCCGGAGCGCCCCTCACGAGGCCTCAGGAGGGCCTCAGGAAGCCTCAAAATGGAACGAAAAGCTTGGGGCACCTTTATGCAACCTCCGACTTTGCTTCGAGGCTCGGAAACGTCCGCGAACCTCGAGCCACATGGGGGCACCAAAACGTACCAATAGTGGACTTCTCCCAGGGCGCATTCTAACTAGAATGTCGAAGCGAATCCAGCACTTGCGACGAGGCACTCCGAGGAGCCCCAAAAAAGGGCGAACACGGGGGACAGGTAGCGGTAGCGGTACCTCTTCCTCCCCTGATAAGCATCACTTCCTCTTCGAGGATCGGAAACGCCAGGGGCACCTCGATGCAATCTGTGTGGGCTCCCTCTGTGAGACCCTGCCTCGCCTCCTGCCTGCCTCTGCGGCCGCCTCGCCCTGGGTCGCCTGGACGCGCGTGCGGCCTCTGCCTCAGCCTCTGCCGCGGCGCGGCGCGAAGCAACGAGTCCGACTCCCGGAGCTGCCGGGCGCCTGCTCCTGGCGTCGGCGGGGGCGGCAGTCGTCCATCGACGGGCTTCCCGCACTTCCGAGGTGTGGGATGCCCACAGGGCGCCAGACCCCCCAGGGTTCTTTTCTGGCGATGGACGGGTTTCCCGTGCTTCCGGACTGTGAGGAACCCACAGGTCGCCAGATTCCCCAGGGTTTTTTTTTGGCGTTTGACGGGTGTCCCACACTTCCGAAGTACGGGAAACCCATAGGTCGCCAGGTGCCCTAGGGGTTTCTGGCGATCGATGGGCTTCCCATGCTTCCGAATAGTGGGAAGCCCATAGGTCGCCAGATTCCCCAGGGGCTTCTGGCGATCGATGGGTTTGCCATAATTCTCAGGCGATCGCAAACATGGATTAAGGGGGCGTGGATTAGCGACGGGTCCTGTTTCCATGGGAAATCGCGGGTTCCCGCCGTCGTGCGAGGCGGTACTGGCCGCATTTTGGGGAGGGAACCTCCCCCGATCCATGGACTTGGCGGCCACGCGCCACATCCATGCATCGCTAATCCAAGTTCGCCCCCGAGAAGTACGGGAAACCCAGAGGTCGCCAGGCTCCCCAGGGCTTTCCTGGCGATCGACGGGCCTCCCATAGCCCCCGCGGGCCCGCCGAGGAGCTCTTCCGCGGCGCTCCCCGGACCCCGGGGCCCCGCCGCGAGCCCCGTCGCGCCCGCGAGCGCGGGGCCTCTCCGGGCGGCGGGGTCGGGCCGGCGGCCCCGGCCCGCAGGAGGACCGTCGGCGGCTACGATCTGGGCTTAAGTCGGGCCTGTCCCCCTGCAGGGGGATCTTCCACGAAAAATAAAAACTGCCCCCAAAATAATTAGAAAATAATCCACAAATAGTCTGGGGACTATTTTTGGGCCTTTCTGGTGTATTTTTGTGGTATTCTTTATTTTTCATCGACCTCTGTAGGGGGACACGCCCGACATAAATCTGGGCCTCCCCGGTGGGGTCGGGGCAGACGGGGGGTCGGAGGATCGCGCCGCATCGCCGATGCCTCGACGATGCGGCTCGACGTGGAGACCTTGTTTTCCCACGCCGACGTCGCCGATGCATCGCCGATGCATCGCCGACATCGGCGATGCCTCGTCGATGCATCGCCGATGCATCGGCGATGCATTGGCGATACGGCGCGACCCTTCGACCCCATCCACTCGGACCCCATCCAGGAGGCCTCTGTACAAAGGGCATGGTTACGCCGGGGTGTGGTTTGCGATCGGCACCGTCGGGGCCTGGGGGGCACGGCACTGTCCTCGTCGGGCCTCCTCGGGACGCGGGAGAACTCAATCCAGTCCCCGCGCGCCCCCCAGGGTGCCCCCAGGATGTTCCCTAGGGTGCCGGTCGCAAACCACACCCTTTGCAAACCATACTTCTTGGAGTCGCCGAGATTGGCCCGAACCCCACCCCCATGAGCGTCGTTTGACCGATCCCTTTCCCCAAGGGCGTGGCATGGGCCCCACTGGCCGATCGACACCCCCCAGATGGGGATACAGGCTGTTCCCTTCGCGCTTCGAGGGGCGTGGGATGGTGGGGGTCGGAATGGAGAAGGAGATGGGGATAGGGATCGGCTAGGCGATGCTGACCCCAGCCTTCGGGGCGCTCCCGAAAGGTGCGGTGACCATGCCGCCAGGCGAGCAGAGGGTGCTTCTCGGGGCCCGGGGTTCTCGTCGGGCGGGTGGCAAGGGAGGGTGAAGAAAGGGCCCTAAGGGCCCCCTTTAGGGCCCCTGTTGGCTCTTCGGGGCCCCTTTCTTTTCTCCACCCCCCATCACCCTCCGCCGAGGACCGTTAGGGCTCCTTTTGGGCCCTTGCTCGCTCCCAAAGGGGCCCTGGGGGGCTCCTTCAGGGCCCTTCTCTTGACCCCCATATGTAGGTCACCCCCCATTGCCACCCGTCTGAGAGGAGGAGGAGGAGGAGGAGGAGGAGGAGGAGGAGGAGGCTCGAGATTCGCGGACGTCTCCGATCCTCGAAGAGGAAGTAATGCTTACCAGGGGAGGAAGAGGTGCCGCTACCGCTACCCGTCCCCCGTGTTCGCCCTTTCTGGGGCTCCTCGGAGTGCCTCGTCGCCACTGCTGGATTCGCTTCGACATTCTAGTCAGAATGCACCCTGGGAGAGGTCCGGGGAGTAGCGGTATTGGTATGGTGCCCCCATGTGGCTCGAGATTCGCGGACGTTTCCGAGCCTCGAAGAAAAGTCGGAGGCTGCATATAGGTGCCCCTGCTCCAAGGTGCCCCCAGCTTTTCGCTCCGTTCGGGGGCCCCTGGGGCCCTCCTGAGGCCTCGCGAGGGGCGCTCTGGAGACCGTGGGGGCCTCCCTGGAAATCCTGGGGGCACCTTGGGGACACTTCTGACAACACCTGAACAACAAATCATGCATTGTTCGTTTATGTCATTGTTTGGGTCCAGCGCGGATCCAAGAGATCCACGCGGACCTCCGAAAGTCTATGATTGTGCAGTTGTTGTTTTCTTCTACCCCCCCTCCAACTATATTCCGTTCCCCACGCGAGAGGTTGGTTCAAAAAGATGTTCCGAGTCGCCTCACAGCCAGCCGCGAGGCTTCAAGTGTACCGCCTGGTCCCTGAGTGTCTTGCCTCGCCAGCCCAGCACTCGCGGCCGCCAGGCCCAACGAATTTACGAGTGTCCTTGAGAAGCCCGCCTCGCCGAGCACCGCTACTTGGCATCGCTCGGACGTGTGCATTTTTCCTTCGGCGTGGGACATCGAGGAGCATCCTTGATCATTTGGCGAAAAACCCACGCACGAAACTAAACAAAGCGCAGGGAATGGACGTCCGAGCGATGGCGAGGCTAGGGATGCATCACGCCGTCCAGGCGTCTCACGACGCAGCGCCGCACACTCCTGCTCCCCTCGCTGCCCTCCCCGTCATCCACGCTTTCAGCCTCGCCATCCGCCGCCTTGTCCTCGCCATCATCTCTTTCCTCTTTACCCCCTGCGAGCCCAGTTGACAACATCGGCGCTTCCCGTTCTTGTCAGATCAGGTTGTTGTATGGCCCTCTGAAGAGGGAGGCAAGGTTCACTGCATTATCGTTAATGCGTATTGGGTTTACTCTGGTCCTCCTCCTCCGCCTCAGGAGACCATGAAACAGATCAGAGCCCTCTGCAAAAAGGGGGGCGGTACGCTCGACACGACGAAGGTCACGGGCAGTCAGCGCGCTGGCCTCGGCGGCTGGGGAGGCGGAGGGAGGGGACGCCAGATAAAGCGACGGCGTCAAGAGGACGGGAGGCGATAGGAGGGTGAGGCTGAGCAGGGAGGGGGGGATGGGGAGTCCAGACGATGTGGGGGCGCAGCGAAGGGAGGGGAGGTGAGGGGTTGGGGAGGCGAGGGGACGGGATCAAGGTTGCAAGGCCCAGACAACTGGCGCACAGACAAAGTCGAAGCAGCCGGTCTGCTGTGTGCTTTGTCTCTTGGGCCGGTTGCAGGCTTTGGAAACGCCAAGGAACGACTCGGGGTAAAGAGCCGGCCACGCGGCATTCTGATGAGTGTAGAGCCCCTCGGCCAGAGCGTCAACTCATGGATTGGACCACGATGAAGCCAATTTAGTCGGCCACAGCTTTCAGCAGCAGGCGTCCAGATGCTTGCCACGAGTTGTAGAGGTGCCCCGTGACAGTTCAGACAGTTTCCGTGCCACTGGCGATGCGGTGCGACGAAGAGCCGGCCCTGGGGAAGGGGTCGGGAGGCCCCAGGGCCTACGCATCGAGCAGGTCGAAGCGCTATGTATGCCCGGGGGGGAGGAGAAACATTGGCCCAGAAAAGCACATGAATGCAAACAGATCCCAGGATTCCCCATGATCTCCGTACCTATACCACCACCCTGCGGGTGGTGAGGAGGTTGGGGGGGAGGGGGGCCAGCAATGGGCAACAGTGGTGATTGTCGCGTTGCCGCTCGCTCTTGGGATGGTAAGAGAGTTGAGGGGGGGAGGACCCAACGTCTCACTCAATCGATCTCACAATGGACCCCACTATCGCTTTCACAATCAATATCATTCCATCGATCACACTATCGATCTCACTCGATCGATCTCACTATCGATCCCACTCAATCGATCTCAGTATCGATCTCTCTATGGATCTCACAAGCGATGTCGTTATCGGTCCCACGATCGATCTCACCATCGACCTCTCTACCGATCTTACAAGCGATGCCGTTATCGGTCTCACGATCGATGGGACCATCGATCCCACCATCGATCTCACTCGATCGATCTCAATATCGATCTAACTCGATCGATTTCACTGTCGATCTCACTCTGGATCTCGCTATCGATCCCACTAACGATCTCCTTATCGATATCACTCAATCTCACAATCGATATCACTATTCGTCTCACTATCGATCTCACTATCGATGTCACGATCGATCTCACTATCGGTCTCACTATCGATCTCACTATCGATCTCACAATCGATTTCGTCATCGGTCTCGCTATCGTTTTCGCACCAGCGGGACACCGGGACACCGGCGGGACACCGGCGAGACACCGCGCGCCACCGCTTGCCGGAGGGAGAAGCATTTGTTCCGGCTGGGGCCCAGCCACAAGCGGGACACCGGCAGGACACACCGCGCGCCATCGCTTGCAGGAGGGAGAATCATTTGGTCCGGCCGCGCCTCAGCCACAGGAGACCTTCCTCTCGCCCGCCCACGCAGCTTCGCCTCGCCCGCACGCACGGCACGCACGAACACGACAGCGAAACCGTTTTCCCGGTGGGGGGCTCTCCGTTCCACTTCGATCTCGCCCCCCAACCTCCGATTGTGTGGATGTTCGTCTTCCCCCCCTCTACTTCCACATTTTCGATGCGTGTAGATAGATATATATATATATATACATATACACCTTAGGCGATGCTTGAGAAAACTTAAGTTTTCGGCCAGAGTCTCGATTATTCTTAACTTTCCAATGTAAATCCCAAGATTTTGATAGAAGGTGTGGGTTTTTATTCAATTTCTGAGATTCTGAATTTCTTAACCCATGATTTCTTAAGCATCTCGCAGGGTGTACAGATACACATTCCTGGGAGTCGACGATTGTTTGTGTCTGTGTGTGGTTTCCCCTCCCGCGAGGGAGCGAGGGGCGGCGCTCGCGTTTCCCCGGGCTTCCGGCGTCGTGGTCCCCATCCGTGTGCGGCCGTGGTCCGCCTGCAGGGATGCGACCCATGATTTTCAGGAGGGAAAGAAACACACAGACACAATTAATCGTCGACTTCTAAGAAAATATGGGAAAATATGCGAAGTGGGGGGGGGAAGACAAAAACCCCGAACATATGAGAAAATATGGGGGATCTTTTTCTTTGTGTGTATTTATTTGTGTGTCCCAGGGCCCCTTCAGATTCGGCGGCGCACAGGGGGTGGGGGGGGGGGCTCCTAAAGAGACGGCGGGGCTTTCAGAAGATGGCTCCTCCTCCTCCACTTCCTCCGCCTTCTCTTCCTCACCCTCCTGCTCATCATCATCATCAGCATCAGCATCATCATCATCATCAGCATCAGCATCATCATCATCATCATCACCATCATCATCATCAGCATCATCATCATCCTCATCATCAGCATCCGCATCAGCATCATCAGCATCATCATCATAAACATCATCATGATCAGCATCAGCATCAGCATAATCATCAGCATCAGCATCAGCATCAGAGTTAGCATCAGCATCAGTCGCATCACCATCATCAGCATCATCATCAAGCTAATATTCATCCTCATCATCATCATCATCATAACAATCCTCATCATCCTCATCAGCATCAGCATCATCATCATGATCATCATCATCAGCAACAGCATCGTTACCAATATCAGTATCAATATCATCATCAACATCAACATCCTCCTCCTCCTCCTCCTCCTCCTCCTCCTCCTCCTCCTCATCATCATCATCATCATCATCATCATCATCATCATCATCATCTTCATCATTCCCATTATCCTCCTCCTCCTCCTTCTCCTCGTCCCCCTTCCCAGAAGACGGCCTTCCTGGAAGGGTCTGGCGGTGTCTAAGAAGGCCGTCCAGAAGCCGGGAGGGCTTCCGAGAAGCCCACTATGTCTTCTCAGAAGCCCCGCCGTTGTTTTGGAGTTCACCCCCTTTCGCCGCCTTTTTGTGGCAAGGCAAGGCCGGGTCGAATCGAGTCGGTCCGCAAGCGGGCGTGGGCAGAAACCCATGAATTCAAGTGGGCGTAGGACACGTATCATGTCGAATTGGGCTCAGGGATCTTGCGCGTAGCCCTCAGACTGCGCACGCCATCTCCTCCGGACTCGGAAACAGTTCCCCTGGGCCCAAGGCTACCCTTGCATCCTTGCCCCTTCGGTCCATCCTTGGCCACTGTCGCTGGCCGCGCCCCGCGCCCCGCTGGGAACACGGTCTGCGCGGCGCCATCGGAGGCGTGCTCCACGCGAGGGTGCGGATCGGGACACAGTCTCCCAAATGAGCTCCCCACTGCTGTCGACGGGCGCGGGGACTCTGATTCCGTCTGCAGAGGGATCGGCTGAACTGCGACGCGCCTCTCCTCCGTTCGCCCTCGAACCTTCTCTCGGGACTGGCGACGACGACGACCACAGCGTCTCGCACGCGGCGCAAGGTCGGACTCCTGGCAGCGCGACGGCTGCGTGCCTCTCTCTTTCTCTCCTCCCCGCGGCCGCGCCTCCCGCCTCCGCCCCTGCCCGGGGCACCCGAAAACCTGGGCGGTGTCCCGGCGCGTCTCCGCGGGCCGTCGCGTGTCCGTCTTGCCCTCGACGTGCAGCGAGGGCGGACCGAAGACACGACGAGGGTCGCAGGCCTGGAGGTTGACACCAACACAATTCATCGTCGACTCTCCAGGAAATATAGGAAAATATGGGAAGTGGTGGGGAAGGCAAAGGCCCAGAAAATCTGGGAAGATATGGGGAATCTTGCTATTTGTGTGTACTTCTTTGTGTGTCCCTGGGCCCCTTGAATATCGGCGGTGTGCCTCCACCGAGGGAAGAAGATCCCGATCTTGGCGATGGCGGCAATATTCTGGCTTCCAAGGTGGCCGAAATGCTGCCACCGACACCGAGATCTAGGATCATCTTTCCCATGTGGAGGCAACCCCCTCCCTGTGTTGGTGTTGGTGCTCATCTCTAGGCCTCCGAGAGGCCGAGTGGCAGCAGAGCGGGGACGGGAACGGCAGCAGCACGGAGGCACCGCGAGGGGAGTCCACGGCAGCACGAGGGCGGAACGGGCAGCAGCGCGAGGACGCCGCGAGGGAGAGCGGGCTCCGACGACGACGGCGAGGACGACGGGCGCGGACACGGCGAGGGCGCACAGCGGCAGCGCGGAGACCGGCGCGCACCCTTCCAGTCGAGCCCCGGCCCCGCCCGCCTGCCCCGCCCCGTGCCCCAACGAGAGCGGCGGCCGTGCCCCGCGCCCGCTCTCCGCCGTCCCCCCCCTGGGGGAGGAGGAGGAGGAGGAGGAGGAGGAGGAGGAGGAGGAGGAGGAGGAGGTGGAGGAGGACGAGGACGAGGACGAGGAGGAGGAGGAGGAGGAGGAGGAGGAGAGAGAGGAGGAGGAAGGTTTGGGGGGCCCCGCGCCCGCCGAGGCCCCCTCGAGCTGCTGGTGAAGGCCTCCCCGCGCGCGGCGCGCCCCGCGGGGAGCGCGCGCGCCCTCCGCGGCACCTCCCCCTCTTCCTCCTCCTCCTTCTGCTCCTCCTCCTCCTCCTCCTCCTCCTCCTCCTCCGACGGCCCCGCCGGCAGCCGCCGCGGGCCCATGCAGGGGCCCCTTGCTCCGGCAGCCCGGGGTCGCCTCCCCCCGGGAAGGCGTCAGACTCGAGTGTGCTCCGGAGCTCGGGTCTGCCGACGCGTTTGGGCGGGCCCGTAACGGATTCCGGCTGTCCAGTGCTCGTGGGATGTCTGCAGCGGGAGCTCGCGTGAAATTGCAGACTGGGTCTCGTCATTTTCGTGACGCCCTCTCAGGCCAACCCGAGTCTCCCGAACCCGAGTCTGGCGTCTCCCCGTATGTTGTCCCCGTCAACATCCGCCCGATGGAGAACCGAAGCAGAAACAGAAGAGTGCACAAGCATGCAGTCGGACCGAGGAGTATGAGGTCGAGGTTGGTTCGGGTATCGGGGAGGGTGCCCTGATGTTCTTCGTGTTTGCTGGATGTTCTGGTGCAACCTGGGGGAGGTTACCCTTGGATGTTCTGTGTGCTTTGGCTGGCGGAGGGCCATGTTCTCGAAGGATCTCATTCTGTCCCAGGTCCGACCGTAGACTTCCGACGCTCCGTGCAGCTGTCTCGAATCGTCTCGGGGCCCACCCCCCCTTGCGGCGCCTCCAGCACGGCCCCCGTCGCGCTCCGCGCACGAGGGAGGGGGGTCCTGCGCCGATTCGAGACATCCGCTGGAACCTGCAGCAGTCACCGAGCGCGTTCCACTACTCGCAGAGTGCCTGCTCGCAAACGTCCGAACATAGATGATTGTTCGATGAGCTTCGTCGTAGGTCCCCCGCAGTTACAGCGAGCGACTTGAACAAGGAACACTTGCTGTTCACAAGGGGATCGGTCGTTCCTTAGGCTTGCATGCGTTATGTCTCGTTCCTTTATGCGCTATGTTATTCCTTCAAACAAGGGTTTCGTTCCTTATGTATCGCTCCTTAGGCCAGGCCGATGACCGTATCGGGAAGAGACTCGGGACGGGAGGGCGCATCGCAGCGCAATTGATGCATCCTGGAGTCGCTCTGGTCCTCCTTGTCGTCCTTCTCCCCCTCCTCGTTGTCCTCCTCCTCCTCCTCGCCCGCATTCTCTCCATTGTCGTTCTCCTCCTCGTCCTCCTCCTGTAGTGAAACGCGCTTGTCTGAGTAGTTTGTGCTTGCACCGTTTTTTTTTGTTTCTGCTCCGCGCGTGCCCGCGCCTCTCCCGCGCTGCCGCGCCGCCCCCGCCCCGCGCGCGCCGCCGCCGCCCCGCCCGCGCTGCCGCGCTGCCGCGCCGCCGCGCTGCCGCGCCGCCGCCGCTCACGGGAAGGGGAGAGCATCGCGGGCCTGGAGGTTGACACTCAGAGCGTGAATTACCTACCCCGCTTTCGCTTCCAGGCAAAACCAAGCCATACCACGCGCCTCCTTGTCAAGCAGCCTGACCAGTACAGGCTGCAGTTTGGCATCGTTTGGTATCTCTTGGAAGCGAGGGTGGTCAAAAGCAAGGTAGGTTTGTTTTCCCCCTAGACACCAACACCAAGATCGGCGGTGAGCCGCCACCGGTTGAATGAGATCCCGACCTCGGTGATGGTGGTACTATTCTGGCTTCCAGGGCGGCCGAAATGCTGCCACCAACATCGAAATCTAGGATCATCTTTCCCCCTGTGGCGGCAGTGCTGGTGCACATTTCTAGGCCTCAAAGCCGCTGCTCGTCCTGGAGCGGGGCATCGCTCGGACGTGTACTTGTTTTCTCGACGAGGGCCATCGAGGAGCGTCCTGCGGAGGAGGAGAGGGTACCCATACCGCTACCCTTCCCTCGTTTTCCCCTTTTGGGGGCCTCCTGGGATGCCCTCGTCACCACCGCTGGATTCGCCTCGAAATCCTGGTCAGAACGCACCTCAGGAGAGGTCCGGGGAAGTAGCGGTACCGGTACCTTTCGGTGCCCCAAGTGGCCCGAGATTCGCGGACTTTTCCGAGCTTCGAAGAGCAAAGCCGGAGGTTGCTACAGTGAAGTCGGGCATGTCCGTCTACAGGAGGAGTGGTCGAGACTAGAAACCAATAGCTCCTCTTGGTATCGCTACCTTTTTGTTGCCCCAATCCTGGATCATCTGGAGAAAAAAACAAAGAAAGCACGCACGATGCCGAAAAGTGCACGGGCCCGGTGGACGCCCGAGCGATGGCAAAGAGAGAGCGCCCTCGCCGCCACGGCGGGGTGCCGGGCCTCCCAGGGGCGGGGTCCGAGCGCGCGGGGGCGGAGGATCGCGCGGCATCGCCGACTGCAGCGCCGATGCGGCTCGGTGTGGAGCCCGATTTCCTTCACGTCGACGTCGCCGATGCGTCGTCGTCGTCGGCGATGCATCGCCGGTGCATCGTCCACGCATCTCGCCGATGCATCGCCGATGCAGCGGCGATGCGGCGCAATCCTCCGGCCCCACCCAGGAGGCCCCCATCGTCGCCACGGCTGGATTCTCCTCGGAATCCTGGCCAGGACGACCTCTGGGAGAGGTCGGGGAGCAGGGATGAATCGGTATCGGTCTGTCCCCCAAGCCAGCCGCTGGCGAGGCGGGGGGCGCAGGAGGAGGGGGAAGAAAGCGGGGGGAAGCTGCAGGAGCCGGAGGGCCCCTTCCCTCCAAAAGGGGGAGGGTCGCCTAGACGTAAGAGCGACCCTTCGCCGGAGGGGCCTCTGGTGCGGGCACGTTGGGGTTCCCCCGATCGCCGAACGCGGTGCGCTAGCGGCGGCCGGCGCTCTCGGTTTGGCCCCCCTCTCGCGCCCTCCCCCTGAAGCCGCGCCCCAGAGGTCACTCCTATACCCATAGGGCCGCTCTTGCGCATAGAGCCGAGAGGAGCCGGAGGGCCCCGGGGCCCGCAGCCCTTCCGGGGGGACAGGAGGCCTCCAGGAGCCTCCCACAGTCCTCCGAAGCATGCCCCCAGAGGCCGAAGTCCTTGAATTTACACTGGTTTTTGAAGGAAGTTTGCCTGCTCGCCTTCTCGGCTAGCCGACGCTCCACGGCGGCCGGAGAGACCCACAGTCAGGAGGGAAAGAAACACACAGACACAATTCATCGGCGGTCCCCCAGAAGACATGGGAAAACATGGGAAGTGTGGGGGGGAAGACAAACACCCAGAAAACATGGGAACATAGGGGGAACCTTTCTACTTGTGTGCATTTATGTTTGCGTCTCCTGGGGCCCCCTCACACAGGACCGCACCAGGAGGGGGCCGAGCCGCTCCCCGGCCCGCCCTGCGCCGCCCCCGCCCCGCGCTCGCCGCGCCCCTGCCGCCGCGCCCCTGCCGCGGGCGCGCGGGGGCGCCGCGGAGGCCCAGGGCCCGCTGCAGACCGACGTGTCCCTCTTCGCCCTGCTGGACAGCGAGAAGGAGGGCCGCCACGCCGACGCCGCCGATGCAGCGCTGACGTCGCCGATGCATCGCCGATGCGGCGCGATCCTCTGACCCCATCTGCCCCGACCCCATCTGGAGGAGGAGGAGGAGGAGGAGGAGGAGGAGGAGGAGGAGGAGGAGGAGGGCGGAGGAGGAGGAGGAGGAGGAGGAGGAGGGCGGAGGAGGAGGAGGAGGGGGAGGAGGGCCGCCCGGCCGGGGCGCCTTCGCCCGAGGGAGGAGGGGAGGCGGCACGAGCAGGAGCCTTAGAGTCGGGCCCGGCCCTCTGGAACGAAGGATTGCAAAAAAAAAATTGCCAAAAAACCCGTGGGTTTGTTTGCAATCCTTGGACGAAGGATTGCAAACAAACCCAAGGATTGCAACAAAAATGCTTGTTTTTGCAATCCTTGGTTATTTTTTTGCAATCCTTCGTTCAAGGGGGGACGTTCAAAGATAGTTTGAGCTATAGTCGGGGGGCGCCTTCTCCCGAGGGAGAAGGGGAGGCGGCACGAGCAGGAGCCTTAAAGTCGGGCCCGGCCCTCTGGAGGATACGGATACGGATCCCCGAACGCGGTGCGGCCCCTGCGGGGGGCTGGGGAAAAGTGCGCGGTGCACCGCGCACTTTTCCCCAGCGCGTGGGAGAGCGCCCGCCTTCCCGGCCCTCCTCCCATCCCTTCTTAAACCACCTTCTTAAACCACCTTCTTAAAAGAAACCACTATTCTTGAACCACCTTGGAGGGGGGGACGTTCAGAGATAGCTTGAGATATAGTCGGGGGACGCTTCTCCCGAGGGAGAAGGGGAGGCGGCGCGAGCAGGAGCCTTAGAGTCGGGCCCGGCCCTCTGCAGGGGGGGAATGTTCAAGGACAGTCTGAGATATATCGTCGTGGGGCGGCAAAGAGGGGGGTGATGACTAGGGGGGGTGGCTATCATGGCGTGGGCCATGATATTTCCCCAGATTTCATGGCGCCTCTTCTCATTTCATTACGTCCCTGGCCCCCCCGCTGGGCCGCGCACATGCCGCCGGTCATGATTTGCCCCCCACCCCCACCCCTCTTGGACACCCCCCTCTTGGCCGCTCCCGAATATAGTCGTGGGGCGATGTTTTGACAATGTTCGAGCATTTGGGGGGCATTCTTGTTTTTTCGTTTTCCTTTTTTTCGCGCGAAGTCCCGTCCAGGACGGCTCCCGGAGAAGAAGAAGAAGAAGAAGAAGAACGAGAGGCTTCCAAAGGAGGTTTTTGGGAAAGGGGCTTTCCAGAGAGCGCACCGGGGGCCTCGCGGGACCCCGTCAAAACAGGGGGGTGCGAAGCCCCTGGGGGGGACCCCTCCTGGACTGCCCCCTCCCCCTCAAAAACCCTCTTTGGAACCCTCTGGAATCAGGAGGGGGAAAAACACACAGACACAATGAATCCTCGATCCCCCCAAAAAAATATGGGAAACTATGGGAAGTGGGGGGAGGACAAAAACCCAGAAACTATGAGAAAATATGGGGGATCTTTTTATTTGTGTGTATTTATTTGTGTGTTCCAGTTCCCCTTCATGGAAGAAGGGCGGCATGAGCATCCGTGTGCGGAGCTCCGCGCGGAGCTCCGATGGGCGCCTGGGCCCCGCTCGCGCCGCCCCTGGCGCTCTCCGCGCGCTGGGGAGGGGGTCCAGCACAAACCAGAGGATGTATTGGCTTCGCTTGGCGTTTTTACCTAACAGCGAAGACTGATAGGTTTCTAGTTGACTCAAAAGAGCTCACAGATCACTCCACAGGGGGGTCCGGGCAGGTGTTGGAGCGTTTCCGGGCGGCATGAGCCGGGCTCGTTTTTCACCAACAGTCACACACTTCGTGCTCTTCGCCTTCCCAGAACTCCATTCCCAGGCCACATTCTGGGGGGCCGGATGCAACAGTCACACACAAAGTGCTCTTCGACATCCCAGAACGCCATTTCCGGGGCTTCAACGGGGTGGCCGGATAGCAACAGTCACACACTTCGGCTCTCTTCTTTTTTTTTTGAGTCCAGAACGCCAATTCCCGGGCCAACATTTGGATGGCCCGGGAGCCAACTGTATGGCCACTTCGTGCTCTTCTATTTCCCAGAACTCATTCCCGGGCCACATTTTGGATGCCCGGAGCCATCTGTAGGCCACTTCCTGGTCTTCGACTTCCCAGAACTCCATTCCCGGGCCACATTTTGAATGCCCGGAGCCAACTGTAGGCCACTTCGTGCTCTTCGAGTTCCCAAAACTCCCATTCCTGGGCTACCAGGAGGAGGAGGGGAGGGGGAGGACTACCAGGAGGAGGAGGAGGAGGAGGAGGAGGAGGAGGAGGAGGAGGAGGAGGAGGAGGAGGAGGAGGAAGCGGAGGAGGGAGAGGGAGAGGGAGAGGAGGAGGGACAATTGCCCGAGCCAGGTGAGTGCCTAGCCGCCGCTCTTCATTTCCTTCCGCCACAGCTGGTTTGGTTCAGGAATTGCTAGTGACACTGCAGTCCACTGCATTCAATCGTGCCTCTGCATTCACTCACTGCAGTCCACTGAGTTTCGATTGCAATGGCGTTCCCCTGGCCGTACCCCCATATCCAACGTTCATCCGCAGCCTCTGCTCCGCGAGGCTCGTCCGAAGTGTCGCCGCCTCGCGGTGCTTCTAGCCTGCGCCGCCTCGCGGTTTGCTGGCCGCTGCCGGAGGAAATATGTGGATCAAGGACGCCTGGTTCCGGAGATGTGCAGACTGAGTCTTTCACAGGTGCCTAGTTCATTTCGGGTTCGAGCGGGCAATGATGACTGGTAAGGCAGGCGGCCAATCACTGTGATAACTTCGGAAGGTTTGTGCGCCAAGAATAGTGGAGGGAACCGTATGCTGATATGGTCTGTGGCTGCGAGGTCGGCGCGTTCCGTGAAGGCTTTCGCCGAGCAGGGATCAACGTGACAGAGATCCTCAGTAAGCCTTTCGGTGATGGCATTCGCTTCTCGGAGGTCGACAACTACTTGACTCTCTGGGGTTTCCGCGGTGCTTCTCAGCCTGCGGAACTGACTCTGTGCGAAGACAGCAAAGTTTACAGGCCTCCTAGCGGCCGAGAGATTGATGCTGTTATTTTACATTTTGAGGTGAACAAACCAGGCCATGACAAGTTCCACGTGGTGATCGCCAACATGCACATCGTGTGCGGCAAGAAACCGCCGACCATCCAGACTCGAAAGCGGACAGTTCGCCATCTCCGCTTGCACCTGGACGGCCTGGCCAAGATTCTTGAGAATCTAAACGAGGCAGTCGTTGTGCTTGTAGTCGGCGACGACAACCTCACTTTCCAGGAGGCGCGGGAGGCTTACCAGCGCGAGCAGAACGACGAGAAGGTAGGGGAGGTCCATGCCACTCCGGCCGACCTCAAAGGCGACCACGTCGCGGTCTGCGGAGCAGTCGCCCGTTTCTGCTCCATTGCCGTTGGCGCGTCTTTTACGGATCGTGGCATGCGAAACGACGCACACGATGCGGTGGCGGTTGTGCTCACTCTCCCTGGTGCTATTCAGCCTGGGGAGAGCAAGAGGCGGAAAATTGTCGTCGAAAACGTCTCCGACGCCGACGTCAGCGTACAGGCGGACCGCGAGTCTTCTGTGCATTGGGATCGGTCGCCGAGTACTGCTCCTCCGCTTTCACCGACTTCACCGGGTGATCCCGACTACGTCGAGGATGTCGTTCAGAATCGCGCGGACGACTTGCACAGGGAGCTGAGGCAGCTTTGGGACGACAGGTACGACGAGGAGTGCGATCCGAAAGTCCTCCATCATCTCAGTCTCTTGCTTTTCAAAAAGAGGAAGTCCACGGAGCCAGCGGACACTGATCCAGCTGGCGCTCCTCAGCCTGGCTCGGAATATGACGCGGCCTTTGCGTCTCAGGCGGAGACTGGCCGAGCCATTCTCTCTGTCCTTAAGCTTCGACATGACTTTCTGCGGAGCAAGAACATCGACGACATGCGATACGTTCTCACGGAGCCTGAGCGCCAGGAATTGGTCAGAGTAGCTCGCGACCAGTACGAGCAGTCGCGGCAGCAGCGTGCGCTTCAGGAACGGGATATCGAAAAGGGAAAAGCGAAAGGCAAGTCTGCGCCACAAGGGGGCCATGCGGTTCCGCAGGGTCCGAACAAAGGGCCAGGCGGTAAGAAAGGTTCTCACGGTGCTTCTCAGCCTGCGGGAAAAGGTGGCCAGGCAAAGGGTGCAGGTCTGGGTAGCGTCGCCAAGTTTGTGAAAGACCAGAAGCGTAAGCGGTGGCATCGCCATTTGCAACGTGTGGCCGGTACTAAACAGATCTGGGAGGTGCTGGCCTTCTCAGGGCGCTTCGACGTCGATTGGTTAACGCAAGCGTTGCAAGCTGATCACAGTGAGGGCCGTGATGCAGCAGTTCCCGAGGAAGCTCTGCGGCAACAGCGGCGCCGGCTGCACCACCAGAAGGCCGAGGCCATCGCGCGCTACAACGAGGGGGAGCGGCTTCCCCTCCATCTGTCTGCCCAGGCTGGCCAGGCAAAGCCGAACTTCACGCGCAGGCAGCTGGACGTGTTGCAGATGTTTGAGAGCGGAGCGCTGCTTCAAATCCGCAACCAAGCGATTCTGGCGTGCGGGCACGGCCGTCTGTTCAGGGGCGATTGCGACTACCTGGACATCGGCGGCAGCACGGGCGGTGGCTCCAGGCGCATCATCGATTCTTGGCAGCCGCCGGACTGGCGTGACTTCCTCCAAGACGATCAGGACATCTGAGGTTTGCAAGTCTCTCTGCCCGCGGTGCTTCTCAGCCTGCGGTCTGCCGCTCTCCAGCTGCGGTCTCGAGCAGTAGTGTTCGAAAGCATGCGAGTTCCTGCGGTGCTTCTCAGCCTGCAGGTTTCGCAGCTTGCGCTCTGCAGTACAAGTGCTTTTCAGCATGCGACATCCTGCGGTGCTTCTCAGCATGCAGGGTTCGCAACGTGCGGTTTGCAATGCATTCCTTTTCAGTATGCGAGTTCCTGCGGTGTTTCTCAGGCTGCAGGGCTCCGAGGCTCTTCGCTTCG